GGGGAGAGGGGTCTGTGGGCTGGTTTTGTGTGTGTGTGGCGGGGAGAGGGGTCTGTGGGCTGGTTTTGTGTGTGTGTGGCGGGGAGAGGGGTCTGTGGGCTGGTTTTGTGTGTGTGTGGCGGGGAGAGGGGTCTGTAGGCTGGTTTTGTGTGTGTGTGTGTGTTTGGGGGAGAGGGGTCTGTAGGCTGGTTTTGTGTGTGTGTATGGGGGCAGGGGGCGCGGTCATGGGATCTGTGGGCTGGGAATGTGTGTGTGTGGGGTGGGTGGTCTGTGGGATTGTGATGTGTGGTGGGTGGGGGCAGGGCAGTGCGGCTGGGTGCGGTTGTGTGTTGGGGGGGTGGATGGGGAGTGGGGAGCTCCCAGGCTGACCTTACCCCGAGCCCCACGCAGTTCCTGTGCTGCCCACTGCAGGGAGCGAGTGGACCAACGAGGCGATGAACTGCTTCGACGCGCTGACCTCCTGTGCCAGCTGGAAGATCCTCCTCGCCAGGATCTGCAGCTATTCGCAGAGCGGGGGCGTCACGCGGCCTCAGGTGAAGCTCTTCGATCGCACCGGGGACGAGGTAGGGAATGGCTCACTCCCCCTGCCCTGGGGTTGGTTGGTGTGGGAGGGGGTGAGCGTTGCTCATGTCGTTTGTGATCCCTCTTCTCCAATCCTCGTCCGAGCTCTATCCTCCAGTCATCAGCCTGAGTCATTGGGAGCAGCTTGTCTGGATTCCTGTTTTAAGTCTCGGTAAACAATCCTGTTCCATGGCCTTCCCCATCCTGAGCTCCCGGCTCACGCTCCGGGCTCCAATCCCACCCCTCCCCACCAGGATGGAATTTCAATCCCAAAGGATAAAACCTGGAATTGGAATCAGGCTTGGAGACGGCAACTGTTGTTAAAACTCCCACTGGGTGTGATAATGTGGAAAGGGGCATGTGACCATCATTACAGAGTCTAGGCCTACACCGACAGTGATGCGATGGGGTGGGGGATTGCTCTTTGAAATGCCCCCGAGGGGCATCAGGATGGCTGCAAAATGTCTACGCATCCCGTGAACAAATAAAACCGCCAGCTGAAATTGGGAATCGATAAGTCGGCCTCAAAATTTCCCGTTTGTCGTGGACTCCCCCCACCCACACACACAACGGGGCTCACTTTGCGAAAGTCCTTTCGGAGTTCGGGCAACTCTCGGTTGCTGCCTGGTTGTGAGCTGAGCCTCGGAGCACAGTGCACCCTCTTCTAGGAGTGCCATGAGACAAATCCTGGTTTCCCAGAAACCTCCCTCCATCCCCGATCCTGTATGTCCTTCCTGGAATCGGGAGCAAGTGATTCCAGCTCCCCAACCCCCTGTCTCCTTGGCTCAGGGGATCTCGTGCCATGTGTTGCATTGCTCGTCGGTGACCATGCCATGTTTAACTGCTGTCTCTCACCTCCCCATTTCTCTCCCCACCTCTCTCTTCACACCCCCGGCTTCTCTCTCTCTCCCCCCCCCCCCCCTGCTCTCTCTGTCTGTCTGTCTGTCTCTCTCTCTCTCTCTCTCTCCCCCCACTTCGCGCTTTTGTTGACAGAACCTGGACGTCGGGGAGGAGCTGATTCGACTGGGACATGCCACCCGGTGCCCTCGAGCTGCCGGAACCGCGGCCGGGAGCGGGCCTGCCACCGTCTCCCTCCAGACACTTCTGGTAATGCCAGCTGGGTATTGGCGCCGCATCTCGGCCGGGTGTGACCTTCCCCTATTGCCCCCCGCCCCGTGCTCGGAAACCGGCCTTTGTTGGGGGGGGACAAGGGGGTTGAGCCTCTTCCCTGCTCTCCTGCACTGCCCGACGTCCACTGGTTTTGTTGGGGAGGTGGTCTTACCAAGACAGAAGAGCCTGCCCACACCCCACCCCCCTAGCCCCTGTCTCTCTCGACAGTGATCGCGCTTCACACAATACTCCCAGGGGCTGCAAAATGTTTCGGGACGTCCCGGGACTGCGACGCGCATTAGAAAGGCAAGTGTTTGGGGTTCCTGAGGTGGCAGGCAGAATTTCAGAGACAGGGTGGAGGGAGCACGCTGACCCTTGCATTTATTACCCATCCCTAATTGCCCCTCAAGAAGGTAGGGAGGTGAGGCACCATCTTGAACCATTGCAGCCCAGTGTGGTGTAGGGACATCCCACACAGTGCCATTCCAAGATTCTGACCCAGAGACACTGAAGGGACGGCAATATATTTCCCATTCGGGACGGTGCATGGCTCGGCGGGGAACTTGCAGGGGGTGGGTGTTCCCATGTGTCTGCTGCCCCTTGTCGTTCTCGATGGAGGTGGTCATGGGTTTGGAAGATGCTGTCTAAGGAGCCTCAGTGATAGGATAGAAGTGTATAGAATGTGGTATTTAGGAGCTCAGAGGCAACCTCCTCTCAAACCCTCTCCCTCCATCCCCCTGTTCTTCTATGCCTTGGGATCCCCCCCCCACCACCTCATGTGTTTATTCAGCTCCCCGCTTCAGTGCATCTCTGTTATTTATCTCCCCCCCCCCC